GCTGCATGTCAATAATGTTTGCATACAAGCTTCATAGACTAAATTTTACCACCTAACGAATGAGTATTGATTGATGAAGTTATTCAACGGGCATCACGGATTTTCTTGAAAAGCACGTCTCGAATTTTACGCTTAGCATCGCCGTTAGACGTTCTATCAAACGGCTGTCTCTCAACAAGGAGCGCAGTGTATGTATAACCTGATCCGAAACCACACCACCACGTGTCCCTAATATTATAAGGCAAACAAATTATCCATTACGCTATCGCGAGGTCACTATCTCACGAGGCCTTGAATCCTTATTTCTGCCGTGTTGTTTGCCGCAGTTCCTATTGTCGAATTCATGAAATACTACGTCGGTGGGCCTCGGACGCGGCGCCCTCTCAGGCATCGTCAAGACCATAGTAACAAACAGTTTTCTCCTTGTGTTCACGCGACATTCGCTTACCGCCTGTGACGATATTTAATTATTTTTTTTTCTTATTATCTTTTCATTCCTTTCATTATGCTAAACCATTCATTTTCGAAATTCGCAAAGATTATTTCGATCCGTATATCAATGAGCATGACAAGTTCAGTGATCTTCATCCAGTGTATGCAAATCAAGTATATACGGAAACTCCGCAATTTACCGATCCCTGAAGCAGACTATCCGATTTAGTTGAAAGTTCTCTCGATTTAAGTATCTGTGCAAACGACATTCCTCCATCATTGAATTAATGTGGCAGTCTGTGCAGTCTGATTGGTAATGGATAGCAAAAGTTCACTAAAAAACCTTAGGTTAGGAAGTAGTGAGCTTTTGTAAATGAAATTCTATAGAAGAATGTAAATATTGTACGTCTAAGTGAACTGAATGTTCCGCATATAATATATATACATATATATTATATGCGGAAAAAAGCTGGATTCACTATTCTACTAGAGCGGAGATTATTTTGCTATTTTATTTTTTATAAAGAGCTAGTACTTTCATGTGTTTTTCGTTTAATTCGGGACTAGGACATATAGTTAGTCACAGTATCGGACTAGCGTTTCGTGGGCAAAGCACACGCTGTCCTATGTTATTACTACTATTCTGGCGGTACTTAGATCAAATTCAATTATCACAGGCTGCAGAATGACCGTATACGCTTATTCCAAAACCTTGTAACAGTCAGGTTTACGCTGTTCGACTTGTATGTGCCGAAGCGTCATTCTTTCGAAAAATACGTACCTTCGATTGGGTTCCTTATATAGCCACGGCCGTACAGGTATTTAGGAAACGTGTAGATAAACTTCTCTTCGCCTTTTTTTGGATAGGACGTGCTCGCTATACATCACGTTTAGAAGACGAGTCTAGGCGAAAATTAGATTTGGTCAAAACACGCACATCGAGCCAGCGATCTTTTTGTCGTAGATTCATCATCACGCTGGGTTAAAACCTGTCTCACCTTGTTCGTCCACAAGTGTACACCTACAAAGTACTAAGCTAAGCGAAATAGGTAAGTTATATCCTTATTGGAACTTGGTTTCATAGTTGACCTCCGCAAGTTTGAAGCAAAATTCTAAAGCTATTGTGAATCACGGTATTTATGTACTTTTTGTGCTATATGATAATCTAAATAGTCCAAATCTATCAGTTTCGATAAGAGTTTACTGAATAACAACAAGCCTGAAGTAAGTAAAAACGTACGTAAGAAGCGCAGAATCGAAAGTCGGAGTGTTTCGCTCTCCATGATAAGCTCCGACTGCACTGTATTTGGTATACAAGAGATACGCTTGTCCCTCGTCCATTGAACATTTGCAATTGTATCGTATTATAGTAGCGGAACAATCGTTGCCGGGTGGTGCAAAGTGACAGATTGCATTGCTCTACCGTCATTGCAAACGTAACAAAATGTGTATGCACATTATGATCCGCTTGTTACATTGGTAATCTTTACTTAAACATAATTTTTTTACGTTGCTGCGTCTGTGTCACCTTAGCTCAGGAGTTATATTTAGGTCTATATCGGTTTTATCGCTTTTTTCTTCTTTAATTTCTAAACGAAAAATGTCTCTTATTGATGTAAGTTACCTTCTAACGATACCAATTTTTGTTACCAGATCTTCGATTGGAAGCAACCGATCAAACAAACTTCTTGAGTCCTATTTACCTCGCAATTTTGTTCATTGGTAAGTAACTAGCTTTCTAATTGGGAGCACACCTGATGCATGTGAGTGTGTGTAGGCCATCATTTCTAATATACTGGAAAAATAAAAATGATACTAGAGTACTTGGGACAATATCAACGTACCGAATGTATCGGTAAAGTTAGGGAAAGATACACTTACAACGATGTTTGCTTTGACAGATGATTCAAAAATGCCTCGATTCCATCGCTTCCTTAAATTCGTTTAATTACCTTAAGAGGTTTACTCGAATTCAATGAATATACTCTACGGTAAAAGACTCTTGTACGGTACCTAGATCTAGAAGCTCCCGCGGCTCGAGTGGTGAACATGTCATTAAATCTTCATCATTCTAGACTCGGTCATTAAAAACACCACTAGAAAATCAAATGGCAGAAGAGTTCTTTTCACTTATACGCAAACTCAAGGTTCGTATTAAATATGATGTCCATTGAGCTCGCTTGTCTTCTCAGTGAATCTTCAAATTACTCCTACATTAAAAAACTAATAACACTTTTTGTTATCATAGTATACCTATATTGTATTAATACTATGGCGTTTCAAGCTTAGGTTGTAGGCATTTCTTAGAAAATTCTTGCAAATTACCTCAAATCTATATATATATATATATAAAATATGAAAATCATTTCGTATTTTCATATTTCGGCACCTTCTCTTCGTATAATAAATGTATTGCAGGAGAAGGCATCAGCGTTAATACAGTTGACCCAGGAGCAACCAGGACTCGAATCACATTTCATAGGAGCACTTCGATGGCCACTTTCTCCTTTTTCATCTACCAGATCTTTGGAGGGGTCGTTTCTTTACTTTGAATGGAAATGTAATTGTACAGAAACCTAGAACACTTTAATACTGTTATGAAGGTCTCACCTGACAGTTTCCTTGAGTGGATTGCTATATTGTACAGCTCGACCGAGGCAGCAGGATCAGCTTTGCAGCACTATCCTTGAAGGGGTCACCGGACGCCATCTTGTTGTCGGCTTGCTTGTCGAAATAGACTGGAACAATCGGAGAGTCTACAAGTGAAGCCGAAGAACAGTACTAATTACTGATATTCTGAATTTACCTAGCACATTAGAAAATATTGGTCAATACGCGTGCTACGCTTTACTAGTCGATGGCTGCTAGTCAATAAATGCGAGGAAGTATTTCTTTTCTGTAATCCAGTTAATTTGCTATTAGCTACCAAACATGAATCCCAACAGAACGATATAGTATATTTTCGTTTGATACGATCGCTTCAATCAGTCTTCTGTAGTAACATTAACGATTCTCTTCATTTCAGCAATTATCTGCTGATCAATGCTGATGATTTAATTTCAACAAAATATTCAATTAAAACGTGAAAATATTCATTTCAAGATGAAAATCCCTACGATACGGTACCGATATAACCGATGCTGCTCATAATGAAAGTCTAATCAATCCTATGCCATCATTATACAGGCTGCCTTGTGCGATTTATATTTGATGAAAGTATCCAGGCTTCGCTGTGTGCGCATCAGATATTTATTATTTACGCAGAAGTACATATAATTTCGTAATTAGGACAATAAGAATTTCAATAGAGCGTAATTCAGTGTTTTTTTTTTTTAGTTCTGTTAATTGATAGGGGACAGATAGTGAGATAATAAAGCACGAATTCGGCACCACCTCTATAACCTCTATAATATAAGATGAAAACAAATTGCCAATGTTTCATATTATGTCTACTTTATTGTTTTTATTGGTATGTTTGTCATTAATTCATTATCTTTTGCTTTTAACGTTCTCTCGTTTTCAGTCACTTGCTTTTTATTTTTGCCTTTCTTCAAACTAGACCTCGTTCGTTTATTGTCCAGTACTTACCTTCTTCGAATTGTAATAGTAATACGTATGCTGGATATCAGTCTCCGTACATGAAGGCAGTAATTGTCGATTCATATAGTAATTTTCTCCACCATCATAGCCATAACAATATGTGTACCTTCCTTATTCAGCATTGGAACCTTCCTTTCAATTGAAATTTTACGTCGTTTTTCTGTTCTGGCCGGCTTTCTTACCATTAAATTTGTTTGCCATTCATTCATTCTGATAGGTATCCAAGCCGACAGCCCCGTACTCGAACCACAGAATTTGTTTGCTGATAGCCACCTGCCCGCAGCGAAGCCAAGTTACTTGTTGTTTCTATTTTTTACTTTTAACATTTCGTATATATATATATATATATATATGTGTATAAATTCTACTTTTCATTGAGGACCGCTTTCTAGTGTGTTTTTTCTGTCTACATTAAAACTGTTTTGGGAGCCGTTACCGACATTTTCCCTAACAAACGCTGTTCGTTGCATTTATTAAATCTCGTTTTTCCTTCATATGTTGAAGATTTACCCTATCATTATCAATAGAATACTCTTTGTGAATAAGCGCTATTGGTAGCAATTAGTATTTGTTGTAATAATAATAGCCGTTTTATTAGTATCACCATTATAATAGTTTTATTACGTTTGTTCTACGTATATATATATATATATATATATATATATATATATATATATATATATATATATATAATGACAGGCCATAATCATAACAATAGCCAGTGCATCATTGTATTGTAATAATAATAATAATAATAATAGTAGAATTATAAGAAAAATAATATCTATAATTATATGAATAACAATTGTTATGATCACCTGGCAGAAAAGAGAACATGAACGTTAAGAAGGCTGCCTGTCCGCAACCGTTCTATTATAAATAAAGATTTATCGCCAGCGGCTTCTGCTGTATATGTCGTCGTCGTCGTCGTCCTCCTCCTCCTCCTCCTCCTCCTCCTCCTCCTCCTATTGTAGCCTCTTTCTTTCTCTTTCTTTTCGATGATTCATGTTGTTGTTTTGGTACGATGCTTACTATGGTTGATAAAAAGGATTTTTTTCTCTAGTTTCTCATTTGTGGCTAATCCTGTTGGGCTCACTGTTTTACATAATAGCTCCTTTTCAATTTGCATAATTTTCCAGCTCATGTTTAGTCGATCTTCTTACTCGTTTGTACAGATAACCATAACTCTTACTAGTATTATCATCCTGAGCCAAAAAATTAATTTGAAGGATCGTCATCCCCGCTTGGTTGGGGGTTATTCATCGTGTCTTCCTCTATTATAATATTGCATTTGTTTTTGTTGCTTGCCGTTGTGTTACTGGTTAATTTAGCCCTATCCTATGAATCTTATTCATTCCTGTTCCAATCCCCATTCCACTGGAATCGGAGGCCGTTGGAAACTGGTAGTAATGATGACAATAACAACAGTCATAATAATTCCATTAATTATACTAATGACAATAAACAAGAGATAAGGCGACCTCCCGACGCCTCGAGTCCATCGCCATTATTAAAAATAATACGCGACAGTCGTTACGCCCACACGGTCTTCCGGCTGTCGCCTAAACAACACTTAATATCATACAATATTTACAGTAATATATTCTTCTTTTTGTTGCTGTTATCGATGATGGTGGTGGTGGTGTTGTCGTCGTAAGTGCTGTTGTTATGCTATTCTGTCTGCCGCTTGGGTGTCGTCTGCTCCTACGTAATACATGCGTTATTATTGTTACTATTATTCGAAACAATCATTTATTTCTTGCAGTATTAATTGTATGTTTATTTTTATACCCTATCCGTCATCGGGACCGCACTTGCGGCCTGTGTGAATGTAAACGTATTAGGCCTATACGCATGTGTGCATGTGTTCTAGCTGCACATAATAATGATGATGATGATGCTGCTGCTCATAATGATCTTACTGTATTTCCGTCTTTTTCGGCACTGTTGGTGATCAATAGGTTGATGTAATTTTTCGGCATTGTCAAATTTGGCTGTTTCGATCTCGTTGTTTTACCTTTCCCCCTTTCTATTCATTGTCTGTACTTCTACATAAATTTGTATATCTATGATGTGAAATATCTCTTAATTCGTTTGGATCGTTCAGTTGTTGTTGTTGTTGTTGTTGTTACTGCTGTTGTCTCTGTCGCTATATGGTATTTACAGAGCAAGGGCTCAGATGGATATTTTCAGTCTGTCAGGCCTTTCTCTCTTCCTCTATTTATCTCAGCCGCAACTTTTTTGCTCGCTCCCTATTGCTCATAATATTTTGCCATTAATACTTCATTCGATGTATCTGTACGTATAGGGCACCCAGCAAGTGCAGGTGTCATTCGATCCACAACAGCGCTTATAGACTATTTTTTCTGACTAACTTCAATGAACCCTTAACGAGCAACGGAACAATCAATGCTCAGTGATCAATCAATCAATCAATCAACCAACCAACCAACCAATCAATTAATCAGTCTACCTTTAACACATATCAGTTTCCCAGCGGTCACCCAATTATGGTCACTTTCAACCCTATAGCCCCCTTTCTTCCCTCGTATAAGTACATATTCATACTTCTTGGTATCTCTCCCTGTGTATCTATTACATCCACTGCGAGCCAGCTACTGTTCAAGTAACGCTGTGGATCTCGTGAATTAGAAAAGCTAAAATTTGCTTCTATTTTACTGTACGAAGACTCGTTTGCTCTCTATTTTAGGCTTCTTTTCCATGACCAAGTACCTCATGATAATTCAATAATGATGATCGATAATACTACGTAGACAGACAAGTCCCTATCATGTCCACTCGACAATGTCACAATCAATTACGTTTGTTCATTTCAAGCATTAATCAACGTTTCTTACGGCCATCACCACCATCAGTCGGCTCATTTTGCAATTAATCAAGGCGTATGTGGTTTACAAGCAATGCCACACCCGCCGTCCAATACATTCTCAAGGTAAAAATGAAAAAAATTTCGATCATTAGTAGGTTATTAGACAGAAATTTACAATTGTTTCCCTGTGACACAGTCACTCAGCGACTGTGCATTGTGATTTACTGTAGACTGTATACATACGTGCCTTTATGTGCGTGTAAATCAATGACTGCCGAACAAGACGTAGCTCACCGGACCAAAATCACTGTATCATTAAAAAAATCTGTTCGTACCAAATGCTTATCCTTTTTTATTCCACCAGATTTCTATTGTTGCCAACGTTCCCCCAACGTGTTGCCGTTTGCTGATAGTAAACCCAACCGATGAGTGGTACGTGGCCGGCGCTGTCAGACAACTCATGACAACCGAGATCGCCAACTGAGAAAACGCGTGACGCGTCGTGCGTGCCCTACAGAATCGAGAACAGCGCACGTCAACTAATTAAGGGCATTCTTTTATTTTGTTCTGTCTACCTCGTTAGTCTTTCGGGATCTACTTATATTCGCCACATATATATATATATATATATATATATATATATATATATATATATATGAGAGATAACTGTATGTGCTCTGCATCTACCGCATCTTCGCACTGTCCTTTTCGCCGTCGACGTCATCATCATGTATAGCCCTTTAAATCGAGTCCCTTCATATTCCTATGACTCTATAATTATGATTCTTATTATTGTTTATTATGCGTCTATGTATGCGTTATATTACGTATTATCTTCTATTTTTTATACGCGCCGCTACGTTTTCACAACTTTTTTTCTTTCTTTTTCTTTTCGTTCTATCCTTATCTCGTATTTGCTATTTACCATTATTTCATTTCGACCCTCCGTTTCGGCAGTACCATATCGTTTGCTAGACGCACCGTCATTCGTTTTCATTGCAAGCTACAGCTAAGTTCACACCGTGTGTGTATGTTCCACTATATATATATACTGGAACTTCCCATTGCTTTCTGTTACTGCGGTAGGCTTTCGCTGTCATTGGGAGACCCTAGAGAAACGCCTCCTACTAACACAATTTTTTTTTATCGGAATATTATCGTTCGCGTCGATCGCTACAGTGTGCCCCTCTCCCTCCCATTGCTGATCAGTACGAGAGGGCAAGATAAAAACAACGCCTCCTCCACTTCGTGAACGCAGCGCGTTATTATTATATACTCATCACCATTGTGCTATAGTTACTCGACTCTTCGTGATATATATTCACGGTCTGCGGTTTGTGAGTTTTCATACCGTCCATCGACCTAGTCAACATTGAGAAGTGATAGACCTCTAAACAAGCCCTATTATGGTCCTGTCCATCTGAAGTACGTTTTACATTTCGTTTCTCTAAGTAGATGTCCTCCATTTTTTCAGCTGTTGTCGTATTGTCATGGAGTGCTTCGTTTCGCTTCGATGAATACACACACGCGCTATTCACAAGTACTCGGCATACTCAAGTGCTCATGGGTCCAATCGCATTATTATTAGCACGCATGCTACCACACTTACGCTCACAGGAAAACATGACCGGAGCTATCGCGGCATTGTCATTTAGACTATACGATTTTCATCATGATCCGCAATCAGTAGCGTTTGACCTTCGACGCCAGACCATTATCATTAGTTTACACTACTTCTACTCCTCTCTCTTGCTGTTTTCTCTATACAGGTTCCTGCCTAGCTGTCTGCGCGATGGCCTACGGCACTTAACACGCGACCAACGTGGCCTGTCTCAACAAGCTGATCATCGTGGAAAAGCAACGTAAATTGCGGGTGAATAAGTAGTTGATGTAGAATGATATTGTAGAATGAAATGCAGAAAGAAGCTGAGTATCTTTAGTGGTTTCGTGAGCAGCTCGTAAGCAGAGTCCCAAGTTAAGTGTACCGCAAACCCATCTCACTGTCGCCGCCTCAAGCGCTCGACTAAACCCATCTCCCAGATCACCCGCCTACTACAATGTGCGGGTCAATATTCTGCCGTTCCAACAGACAAAGCACCGTCCACTGTTCGCTTAGTATGCATAAGCTTGAGCGATGAGCAAACTAGGTAACGTAGTAATAGGTTATTTAGTCGTAATATCGTTATACAGTATAGCGGCAAATGCACGTGCACGCACTCACACACACAAGCGTAGCTTGTATTTGTTGCCAACGAAGGGTCCCGAATGCTTCGGGTTAAGCTGGCACACCCCAGTAGTATGCGCCCAGCGACTACCTTTCTGTCTGCCTGTGGAATTATTCGGATAATGATTATTATCGTGGTCTTCGAGATGTTCGTCTATTACTTCCACAGACCTTCTTTGCCTCCTTTTTTTACGTGTCTCCTTACATTTTAGTAGTCTCCTTCGAAGGTTGTACAGTGCTAACTTTCGTAACAGTCATCGTCGTAATGGCGCCTCCGTTGTTGGCTGTTTCGGTTTTTTCAATCACGTCTGCGTGAGTACCCGTTCTAGTCATTCCGTCGCGATCTCCTTTGTTATCTTCTGTTGTTTCGGTGCGTATCTCACTCCGCACGTCACCTGCCCCGTAATACCCTGACTGAGCTACATTCATTATGACGTGACCCGACGTGATTCCGTCCAACTCCTCCATTCGTTGCTCTTTCGCCGAGTCGCCGGACAAGTTCGTGACATCCTTGTTGGCCGGATGGGGTACTGGCGTCGACGGTGGTGCCATACTGCCCTTCTGTTGCTGTGTTTGCAGTGCGTCTACGGAAACCGCCTGACTGTCTGAGTGCATGTCGTGCTTCTCTTGCATCACTCTACGAACCACAGTAAGGAGCTTTGGATTACGCTTTGAAGGTGTATGTTTTAGTGGGGATGCCATACGCTTGAATACCTTCTGACTCATGAATTCTTGGAAACGCTTAGCATAGAAACCTGGCCGATGGACGGACACGGTGTCACCGTCATGCAACAATGCCTTCCACGAGTGCTCGAGCTTTTTGCGAAGTCGATACGACTGAAGAATATCGATGATGCCGATAAATAATAGCAGACGCTCTCCTTTAGAGTTTGTTGCGGGAATACCACCTGGAGGCGAGTTGTCGTCGTGATCGATTGACTCAATGGCGGTTGAAAAGGCTGCCAGCCTTCCGCGGTTCATTGATCTGGATCGCGGAATGTTAACACTAGCTGCCGCTGTTGTTGTTGTTGTTGTTGTCATGGCATTCGTCGTTGACGCGAGCGCCCTTGCAAAGGCTCCGTCAGCCGCCGTTGTTGTTTCCGCAGCCTCTGCTTCACGCGCCGCCTGATCGATGTTATGAATACCAAGCAACAATGAATAGTCCATGATCTTGAAACTCTCCAACACTCGACAATCGCGTTGTATTGTATTGATAAGTGCATCGTAGGTTTGTGCGTCGAGCAGGATTCCCTCTGGATGGTGTTCCATAAAGTCAAGGTCTTTAAATGTCGGCGATTTTTTCTGCCTCTCCGCTTTACTCGCCTTCCTCTTGTACGTCGATCCCTTAAGATCGTATTTTTGGTGCATTCGCACGCTTGATGGCAGGAGGTTGTTCATCACAATGACGCGGACGTTTTTCCCGCTAGCAATGTAGCAATACAAGCCGAAGAATTTTGGTAGCAACGTCCGAGGATTCTGGTGTAGATTCATATAATAGCCCGGTAAAAGGCTTTGAAGAAAATCAGCCTCGACATGTGCTACCGTTTTAATAATAAATTCGTCATCGGCTGTCACGTAAAATAGTGAGCCTGATGCTCCTGGATTGCTGAGTTCCCGCATTGGCTCATTACAGAGTGATAGCAGGAAATCTCCTGGAGGGATCTGGAACAGATCCCGAAAATATCGAAACGCCACTGGTGAGTACGCCTTGAATTTGAATGAGTCATGGTGATGTGCTGGGCTCATGGAGCCTCCCTCCCTGGGAAAATCGAGATTGTCCACCATCGCGAAGTCCTGCATGAGTAGGTCTCGTTCCGGCTTGGACGCGAGACTTCCCACAGCGTAGCCGATGCCGAGCTGAATGGATTCGATGATGGTGGACGAGTGAATCTTCTTGAAGGTAACTTTACCTTCATCGTCGATTCGTCGATGACCGAGCTTCTCTTTTTCGCCTGGCCGCATGCCGCGTTCTCCTGTCCCGCCATGCACTGGGCCACGTTCGCCGACGGGCGTCAGCGGCGCCGTCGTGGACGTTGTCGGCGTTTTGGCTTCTGATTGCGACATGTGCGACGGTGTCGAAGTGCCGAGTGTGGAAGTGTCTAATGGGCCCGGTAGCCGGCGTCCGCGGAACGGCGTGCCCGTGCTACTGCTCACCTCCGAGTCCATCGCGCGACCTGCGCCCTCGATAACGACCACCAGCCCGCTGTCGACGCCACCGTCACCAGCGGCACCGTCGAATCGACACGACGAGTCAACCCAGCCAGCCCCTGCCGCTTCAACTTTGTCTGCCTTCGTAGACCCCTCAGCACTGCTATCACGACCAATGCAGCGAATCGCCGACGACGACGCGTTCCAATCTCCGGTAGTGCGGTCGTCGCTCCTGAACACAAAAGATAACAAAAGAAATGCACGAAAAGAAGCACTGGCTCATTAGCGACAAATTAATCGAGGCAATTGTACCGAAATACTTTTGGTAAATTTGATTTAGTGAAGTAACAAACTATAATCCATTAATAATCATGCGATTGCGAGTAAACTGTTCTAAATTCACGAGATAATTCGATCTAATCGTTTTTGATTACTTCAAGAACGGTACAATTTGACTGGTTTTGTCTATTCATAGGTAACGAACAATGAGCTAAAAGGTAATTTGGCACGTTTTATAGAATCATATTCTTGTAATTATGCTATAATTTTATATTTCGATTATATTTTTCAGATACCACAGGTGCAGTTCATAAATTCATCATGCATGGATGGGAAGACAATCAAACGTTTATTCAAGTACCATCATATTATGACTCGAGCAATGGTAGCTAAATCACGAAAACGACGTGCGCCAAAAACGTACGTTCGTTATAAAATCATTGAATCGTAGAGCAGGATCGATTCGTTACGGAAAACTTGTTCTCGTTCTAAATACTATAGGATCTTAAACACCAATGAAATTACTTACGTGTTTACCATGTCGTGTACCCGATTTCATAGTCTATTTATACAAACACTGCTTGGAACAAAAGAATACGACAGAACAGAACATCGTTTTTTTTCCATGTTAGCAAAATAAACAGATAGAACTAGTTCTAGCTAGCAGATTTTATTATGGCCACAGGTCTTTTAAAGCGTTTATGGTTAGGTATTCCTGAACTGTTGTATATATAATACATACACTCAAGAAGCACTGATATTGACAACGGTTAGTCTATGACACTGCGCAGAATCGTGTAAACCCTGTGCGGCCTGTGCCAGATCCCTATAAAACGGATGTGCCCCACGGTGTGTGTGAATAGGCTGCTGATGCGTACGCAGCGTTGGACGACCACGCAGTCGTCGGTGATCCATCTCAATTCTAGATTAGATCATGTAGAGCTAATTAGGAAACCGCCAACGCCATATTCAACTTAACTTTTCGTAAATGCTAAATCTCATTTATATCTTCATAGCATTTGACACTAATACGTTGCGTGCAACAGTCAGCTCAGGGAGGGCAAGTATAACTAAGACCAAATTGTTTGTAAGATATCAGATATGAGCGCTGAACTTAGCTGAACATCGGTGAGCTTCTTTGCATCAACTGCAGAACTTCTCAAGAATCAGCTATGAAAAAAAGCCTGTTTGTTATGAATCGCAATGGACCTCTTAAAGGACTCCAGCAGACACCGACTACAATATGTCCTATCAAACGTTCTGTATCTGCCTACCTTGTGTACACTTCCGCAGATCTTGCACAAGAGGGTCCCAACGTATCATACCGTGTGGGCCGGACTAACACAACTCATAACAGCAACTTCCAGCAAAACTTTCGGTGAAAAAACTGCGTGTAAAGGCAACCTAGCAGCAGCATCTAATGTAGCGTGTAACGGCTACGGCCTAACAGGTATCTTGAGTGGTGACTTCACGCGCTCTCTCGAATGCAATGAAAAAGATTCTACATCTAATGCCATTTTCAAAGAACTTATGTAACGCGTGTCTCCTTAGAAATCGTATTGCCGCTGCTTCCAGCAGAACTCTACTATAAAAAATCCCCAAAGGCAAAAGAGACTCAATGTCCCCCCCCCCCCCTTCTGAAACGGATTGCCATAAAAGCACTGAGAAGACGAATGAGGTTTCGTAACTGAAGTTGTATTATTGCCAAAGATAATTTGCGACTCTACTTTCGTCGATTCCGAATACTATAAAACTTCAAATAATCTAAAATTGTTTTACCAACTAACGGACGGTCCGTTACAGAGCATACTACAAAGAAGGTGCGAAACGTCTTAATCGTATTGTTTGGTATGCTGAAATCGAACCTCAATTCCCTATCAAACTTCACATTTGACATAAAGGCTGATTTTGGAGCTCTGCATGATAAAGAAAAAGTAAACTGGATTTATTATTCACAAAAGTAGACAGGCGACCTAGACAGGGTACAGCTTGGATTCCCCAAGTGTGTTCGGAGCCTGCAGACGTTCATTGAAACCGGTTGGCGTGCCTTTGAGTCAACACTCCAGGAAGAGATTTTATTTTCTCGTCTAGGCTGAGCGATCTCAGTCTAAACAAGTTCCTTCACAAGTGACATAGACTCTTCCATCCGTAAAGCTAAGGCCACGACAGGCACCAACTCTGTGTGTCAACAGCGCTGAGACGCATATACACACAACAAGCTGTATGAGTGTTCCATCCAATCACAGGCTTAGCTAGCAAACCACCATTTTGAATATTCTCTATCTTTGATTTCTTAAACCTTTGCTTTCGCTTACCTAAAACTGACGGGGTTCCCGTCGGGTGAATCGTCTTGCCGGCTGAGCAAGATATCTGCGCGCGGTTTAGTATCTTCGGTGTCGCCACCACTAGCTCCTTGCCAGTTCCGACGCCAGCTGCCGCTCACTTGAGCTGAATCTCGTTGATCCGCAGGAGAACGCTCGCGGCCACGAAACGTTTCTTTGTCTTTGCTTTTGGTCCTGTGCTTTCCCGCCTCACTGTCCCTAGCCGAATTCCTAAATAGGTATCCAAATTTTCGCAGAAATGCTGACGAATAGCGAAATGAGCGCCGTCTGAATCCTGACACTTGAAACGAAGAGCATCATAATGAAATCGAGAAACATTTAATGAATGCATCAGTTTCCTAGGTCGACGGTTAATACGCAAGGTTCGGTTCTAGATAACTCTGTTGCTGTGGGTTTCTGAACGCACCTAATGTTTGTAATTAGTGCCAAAAATAAGACAGAGTAATATTAAAACGAATGCAGCATAGCTAAGGCGCAAAAACAATTCAGCTCTACTAAATCACTCTATTATACGTACATACGTACGATATTCATGCAGGGTTCGCGTTGTTCAAACGAACTTCCAATATCGGCAGATACGAAGGATTAACGATAAATGGAGAGAAACAGGTTGTTACAATTAAAAAAGTTTGACCGAATTCTTGTCACAGATACGAGCTATTCAAATTGCCTTGCTGCATTTACTTGGCTCGCTATCATCGATAGCAGGTTTTTTTCAACCGTGAAAAAAGGCCGGTGATCACGAGGAGCGACACAATTGAACATCTCTGCGCCTCATTTGATTTCTGTACATAGCTCACTGCAGAGCTATTGTGGCTTGCGCCTGAGTTAATGGAGCCTCCTACTGACGGAGGCTTCATTGCGGTAACTACCTGTCCAGTCTCTGCCGGTATAGAAACAGTATGGGGCACATCTAAACCACACTTTCCGGCCTGAAGAACAAACCGGAAAAGACATCGACCCCCCCCCCCCCAAACTTTGAAGTGCCTATCGATTTGCAAGTTCTCCTTTTCGGAGCACAGGCGTAAGCTAAACCTGTTCATTTCCCATCCTAGCCTTAAGGTTATTGCGTAAATAAAACTCGAAACACAGAAATAAACTAGTACCGCTAAGGGAGAGCAAGATTCTGTGGTTATTTTACAATACAGACAATACAGATACAGAGAAAAAAGTAAAGACCTTCTTGACTATGCAATTGTATACATTTCAACGATTCTAGAGAATTATATATAATCTAAGTCATTACCTCTATTAAAGTTTCCCGTCGATACAATGCTTCTCCTTATGTACGTTCTATTTAAATATGTACTGAAAAAAACCTACCTAATCTTGCTAGTACGTTTTGCTTGGATAGAGAAAGGTGCCTTCCTTAATCACTTGCGGATTATTATTTACAATGAGTTAAATGCAATGTACGCATTGCTTGTAGGCTCTTACGAATCAGATCAATGGTCCTTAGGGTACTTGAAACTATCATAATTTTCTTTAAATTTGATTTAGGACGCCAAGTAAATATTTGGGCGACTGAGTTATATACTACAGAATTGGACATCTCGCAAAACGCGAACGTCTAATTTACTTACTACAACTGCAAAAAAAGCATTTGGCTATACTAAGCAGCTACATACATAAATTAGCTACTGTTGACCTGTCCTTGAAACTCCGTTTTCTACCTGTCGATTTGGCAATAGTTAATTGTTAGCAAATCTTCTCTTATCACACCTGTACCTTAATTATATTATTACAGTAAGAATTATGACTCCCTTTAACGTGGTAGGTTGCATGAAAAATCAATTTTTGTTCAATTTCCCAAACCGAGTTCGGCTAAAGGATGCTATATGCTTCCTCGATTGCGTCCTAACACCGGGTAGATATAATCTTCGGAGATATCTTCATCTTGTCAGATGTACGTCTTAGCCTAGCTGATTCTGTCAAGAGATTGATAATCTCCCACAAAATTGATTGACAGAGCACGTGGTTACGCTGAAAGCTTAACGGACATTATGTCTAAGGAGTACGTATCTGCTACGAGAACACCGAGAATGACAATGGTGACAGGCCCAAGGCCAGCAGATTGCACCGTACACAGCAGTCTCTCTCAGGATACATTTCTCATTTCTTAAATCATTACGATAGTGGCAGGTTTGTCGCACACATGGAAGGACCGCTTTCCACTTCTATTTGTTCTACGCAATGTAAGTGCAGGTAGGCTCATCTGTCATGCGGCTTGATGCAATGAACCCTGAAGGTCACCGAATAAACGCATTCCGAGATGCGCATGGCCATGTTATGTTGGAGCATCGCGAGAATTTCGTCGTTGTGGCACCCGCATTCAGAACAGCATGACATAGATCGTCATTTACATGTTCTATAGTGAACGTTTCATGAGAAGCGCTGAACGGAACTAGGGAATGGTGGCGGCCAGTGGGTAAATCTGACAGCCGTCACTTGGGAAGGCAGAGCAGTGTTTAGTACCTAATTCCTTTCTATACACCTGGTTGCTGTAGTAAGTCGAACAGGGCATCGCATCACTCTTAGGACACAATGTTATGCATGTGAAATAATTAGCTCAGGTGGATTGAAATCTTCATTCCCGCTAATATCATGAGCGGCATACAGCGGCAAAGCAAAAGCTTTGTGCCTAAGAAGCAGGTAAAAATCGCGGCTGGGAAAAACCATAAATATATAGATGAAAAATGGTTACATTGTCCAGTGATACGTTTGTGGATTGCCTCATTCGATATTACGGTTGCGAAAGAAGCAAATAAAAGCACAGTTTTATAATGTAGTATACTGAGACAATTTTAGGGCGTGCTTATCAAATAATAACTATTCAATACCTACAAAATGAGATCGATGGCTCTATTCAGTTGGAGGCTCTCCAAAGTAGCTGTCAGTTGTTCGCGAACTACTACCGACCGTCATGCCTAAAACATGTGCTCCGAAAAAACGCTGGTAGAAATACTGGCATAATACGTACTTGTCGCACAGTTTACTTCACATTCCGTATAACCACGAAATCCCTCTGATGGTGATAAACGGTACTCAGAAGCCAATGGCTAAGTGATCATTGATAATGCCGTCAAAATTATGCGCTGCTCTCAGCTTCTTTTAATCGTTATACTGAAACGTGTATGTAGTGAAGAAGCGTGATACCAGCTCAACAAACACCGTTACTCAAGTCCTCAGGCTGGGTCCTTGTGTAAGCGACTATCCTTATCAAAGGACTCAGTGAAATGGGCAGGTCGGTATTTTTTCGAAAGTCCGCTCGACCGGTATGCCTGCTTATAAGACCAGCTCGATTGTGACTCAGCAATCTACATACTCGACAAGTTCAGAGAAGAACATAATCTTACTGGAATACCTTCTGTGAGCCCCCACAAATGACACGTATTAGTGAAGAAGATCGTCGTTGCCACGATACACGATACAGTAGCAGGACATAAACTCAAAAACTCTTCTAGCAGTCAAGGCTGTGCGCCTACGAAGCGTCTATCATATAGAAGAGTCCCAGAACAGATACATACGGATGCAAGAATGGATTGTTTGAAAAAGGCTACTAGTTATGACTACTAAGCGCACATGTTTTCTTCAAACGAAACACAAAGTCAAAGAATGGCAAGAAAAAGGCATAGCATTACATACAGAAAGTTGTTTTGAGTGGGTACTCAGTAGATCTGTTGGCGACGCTCGTTGTGTACCTACCCCCATATATTGAAATTTTATTCCATATTTTTGATTTATCGAAAATAACGCTCAGTCCACTAAAAGCAAAAATTACAGTGTGATGCATGCTGATGATCGAAATCAATTTCTTGTTGGAAATTAACTCGGCGACTACTTACGATAGGTATATACATATTGAATGGGAAGATAATAATTAAGCCTGTTGGAAGTTAATCACCATATTATAGTGAAGGGTCAAATTCATTTATTGTCTTGCACAGTAATTCTTCGACTTAGCGAACGTCGTTAGCGGCGTTGTCTTCTGATAAAGGTTCCATACATTTTGCCAACATCCGAGCGAACCGCTGACCTAACAGACGACTCAGACAATGGCTTTTGGCCGTGGTTAGGATCACGCCACACTTCGGTCCGTAGTAGAACGCGCCTTCTGCTCAGTCAGGTGTTCAATCGCCGTTAGCATGGGACAGGAAACTCCAAACCCACATGTAACTTTCCATAGTGTTCTGGTTACTACAAATGAAGCAGCCGCATAGGCAAAAGAAACAACAAGGTTGAAATATTTTATATAGAACCATCAATTGGTCGAGGTCTCAAATAATCCCGCTACTTAAAATATTAATAATAGTTATATTTTGAACGCAGTAAAACATAGGAGATTTTCCAAACCGAGGTAGATTTCTCTGTGCGCCAGCTTTTTACTTCTACATGAGTACGATTTACACTAATTACAGATATCGTTCATCTCTATGAATATATTAAAACAAAAAAAAAACTATAATGAGCGGAAGTACTTCTAGATCGTATTGCATTCTATAGCAAGCACGCTTTACAAGTTCATCTGATCAAAAATGCCGGCAGCGTTCAAAACGACACCCTCAAATACTCGTGTTTGAACCGAAAAAGCTAAGCTTCTTTAAAACGGCCGTGACGGGAAGAGACCAAATAGTTGGTTAAAATAATGGTTCGTGACTTAGCTTGTGGAATACAAAACACACGCACTTATTTACGTAAAGGCGTTATTTACAACATCTTTTATTTTTTGACGCTCATAAGGCAAAGGAGGAATCCATGGAATTAGATTTCATTAATTCAAAACTACCTGTGTCACGTATGAAGAATTTTAGCTTTGGGAACACATCTGGTAGCTAGAACATCTGATCGTCATGGTATAACGCTTATTCACGCCTATACCAGCCTATTCGACTGGTTTCAACTAACTGTTCCTCGGAAAACCAGTCCAGCAAAGATAACTGGGAAAAAAAAATCAATAATTCGTATTTATAGGTCAGCGTCGTTAACCCATGCGTTTTGAGAGTGCTTACCTACTAGTATGGACAGAACAACAGAGTAATGAGGCTGCTGTCGTAGAGAACTTTGAAATCTTATTAGTCATCGCGGCACAAAGTTAGTCAGAATGACGCAAGGTAGATACGGCGCCACCTACATGGGGCGTTCGAACCGCTAGGCGTTAGGGTCACATTAGAACCGGTGCGCTTTTAACAAGACGACCGGCATCACCATGATCGTCTCATAGGTCAAGTAAGGACTGAGGAAGGAACCAGTTTCTATCCCTGGAGCGCAATAGTCACCACA